GAAAATTCAAATCCTGTTGTTCATACTGAGCGCAGGAGATTTCCAAACTCATTTGAGAATGATGAATGTCTGCCTTGACTTTCCAAGCCTGTAGTTCAAAACGATTCTCTGTAGGTAGGTAAAAAGAGTGACTTCTTAAAAATTTCTCCTGCTGATGGGGATTCCGGGCTGTTTGTTATTGTTGTTGCTTGGTTGGTCGGTTGGTTGGTCGTTTTCATCACATCCATCTTGTGCCTGTTCAACTGAAGTACTATCTTCACTGCTAATTGCTGCTATTTACTTTGCGTAAAATCCTAGACATTTCGCAAACTTGGAATGGCAGTCATCTCTCTATCTCAACTTCACCGACTTTGAAAAGGCCTTCGACAGCGTCGATCGAGAGGTGATTTGGAAACTACTTCGCTTCTACGGTGTGCCACCGACAATTATACATCTCATCCAACAGCTGTACGATAATGCTGCAAGCCAAGTAATCCTCGACGGGAAACTTACGGAACACTTCGAAGTGAGGACAGGAGTAAGACAAGGCTGCCTACTATCGCCAATGATTTTCCTGATTGTAGTAGACTGGATAATGCGACAAACAGCAGACAATGAGGAAACAGGCATAAACTAGACCCACTTTTACAAAAAACTTCAAGGATCTTGACTTCGCCGATGATATATGTCTGATTTCCCACAAACTGGAAGATATGCAAGTGAAAAGCAACAAGGTGGCAGAAGAAGCATCAAAGATAGGACTTCAGGTGAACATAGAGAAAACAGAGTTGATGAAGATTTTTGGGCAACACCACCAACAGCAACAACAACAAGAACAGACAACAATTAGCATAAATGGGAGGAATCTGAAAGAAACAACCTCTTTTACCTACCTGGGAAGCATCGTTGTAACTACAGGCGGAACTGACGAGGATATCAAAGCAAGATTCGTTAAAGCAAGACAAGCTTTCACTACTCTCAAGTCTGTGTGGAGATCAACAGCACTCAGCATCAAAAATAAGATCCGGATTTTCAACTCCAATGTGAAGTCAGTGCTACTATGTGGATCAGAGACTTGCACTGCGCGTCATAAACAGCATCTCAAATAAACTACAGACCTTCATCAACATCTGTCTTCGCTCAATGCTATTCAAGATCAGATGGCCGGTCAGAAAAGATCAGCAATAGGGACCTGTGGGAGCAAACCAACCAGGAACCGATTGTGAAACAAATAGGCAGGAGGAAATGGAGATGGATTGGCCATACTCTGAGGAAACCATCAAGTGACATCACCAGACAAGCCATCGCTCGAGTGGAACCCGATAGGAAAGCGGCGAGTTGGTCGTCAGTGCAAGGGTGACTTGGAGGAGGTCATGTGAAGAGGAGATGAAAGCATGTGGGCAGACTTGGAGCCAGGTGAAGACTCTAGCAGAGAACCGAACGCAATGGAGACACACGGCAGAAGCCCTATGTTCCTCTAGGAATTAAAGGAAACAATAATAATAATTTGCAAACTTCAATTTTCGTGTAGGGCATATAATTCATGCATAGACACAGGCTGAATACCACCTGAATATTACTGAACAAAGCCTGTGGATTTGTTCTTTTTCCAATCATTTAACTCTTCTTATTCATGAAAACTTTTAATGCTTTTGCTTAATCTGCTCTTCTCAGTTCTCTGATAAAACTTGTCCGACATTCTTATGTGGCGCGTGAACACTTCTAAAACCCATGAATATCTTTCACATATCCTTAGGATTGTGGTGAATCAATGAACCACCAATCAGTGGATGAATCACACGCACACACACGCACACAAACACACATTTTTAAGTATTAAATGTCAAACAGAATGAAGTTTTAGGAAATTTTCCGATGAAAACGAACAAACGAGCAAACAGAGTGAAACATTTCAGAACATTGTTAATTTAATTTCAGTGTGTATGATTTTTCTTCAAGAAAGGGTGTTCACAACTCTATTTACCTCTTGATATACTATGAAATCCTAAGAGAAAGTAATATTACAGGTTTAATAGTATCAAAGTTAGCATGAAGAGGAAACATGATTCGACACACGCACACACACACACACGTACAGACAGGCAGACAGACACACAGTGCTCCTAGATAAAATGAACTGAAAAGTATTAGATGGGTGGAGGCAATCGGCCACAGGAAGCCTCGCCTCACCTAGGTTACGTGCTGGTTGGCACTCGTCAGCAAGGCGTATCTGCAACTTAGTTCTGAGATTCGAACCCGCGTCGCCCAATGCTGCAGTCAGAGACGTTACCACTGAGTTATTCGGAGTCGCGATTGACTTCCTGATTGGACAGCAGTAACTAGTGTGATGTGTCTAGTCCTTTCTTCGGTGTAGATTGAACTTCATCAGTCAGGTTTGAAATGTGGCCATCCTTCTAAGTAGCTCGCGATCATGGTGCACACTGATTTTATAATATTAGATGGTTGGAGGAAAACGACAGGAAGCCAATCAAATTATCCACTACAGTCCTACAGGAGGCCAATCACGAGTCCGAATAGCTCTGTGGTAACGTCTCTGACTGCAGCCAGCACTAGGTGACACGGGCTCAAATCTCAGAAGCGACATGAGTTCCTTCAAGCTGGTTGCAGATACGCCTTACCCGACTGGTGATGAGTGCCAACTAGCACGAGACTTAGGTCAGGCTGGGCTTCCTGCTACCGACTACCTCCAACCATCTCATATCATCAAATCAATGTGCACTGTGATGGCGAGCCACCTAGAATGATGGCCACATTGCAAACCTGACTGACAGAATTCAGTCTGTACCGAAGGAAGGACTTGACACACACATTACACTAGTTAATGACTAGTACCCAGTCAAAGTATGCTCTGAAAAATCCATCACGATTACAAATCATTGAAGAAATTGAAATCGAGGCTATACGAAAAGAGAAAGTGCTCAATTAACTGCCTTTACAATGGTGATGGATTTTAGCTGAACATGAAATAATCGTCGGTTGATGAAATGAACAGAACTAGAAGCATCGATTTTTTGCACAAAAGTATAGCGGTTCTAGTTATCACACTTTAGAAAACAGAAATGCCCGACAGAAAGAATAATGAAGATTTTCAGAGATTGGAAGATCACAGGAAGTGAATACATCTCTGCTGTTGAGAATGATTTTCACTGGTGTTATCAACACTTCACACAATGGCTGATGTCTTACTCAGTATTTTCAGGGCGCTAGCCGAAGCCTCGTTTACAAGTCTCAACATCAGTCAGACTGGTAATTAAAAATTTCGTGGATTGGTGTGATGTTTTGGTCTGACCACGCTTAAATCTTTTCCATTCTATACCTACTCTAACCGACACTGCTCGTTGACGAAGCTCGTCTTATGCAATACAGCCGATACAGTTTCACAACCTCATCGATAGACTTCCCCTCCTTGCTGAAACTCTCTACTATAGAATTAAATGAACCTCAGTATGGTTAAGAAGCTGCATCTCTCTATTTATAGATATTTTATAGCAAACCAAAGTTATAATTTGGTCCATTCAAAAGTCCCGCAGTTCGACGAACTCAAGTGGGTTCTCTGAAGTTACTCTAAAATCCTTTAAGTTTGGTATATCTCTAGTGTCTATGAAAACAATCAGATTTACAGCGGTTTTAGTTCTGAAGAAGAATAAATATAAAAAGTTCCTTTCAGTGTATCTTATTCCACTATTCGTCGACTAATAAGCCTTCAACTTTCCCAGGATTTTATAAGTCAAACTGTACAATTTATTGCTAACAAACTGACACCATTTAAAAAAAAGCATCGAAAACCAACTAGGGAGTACTGAACAGCTGTCTCATCCTATTTTCCGACTAATCTTCAGCAGTACGCACTCACCGCCACGGTTCAAACCGACGAATTTCCGTTTACAATCCGAACTCATAGGTCATTCAGGCACTGGCATAAGATCCAATCGGCCATGAATTCCAAGTTCTGACAATCTACGATTTATACAGAGCGACCGCTGGCCAACATCACAGGAGAAGAATTGTCGTCTTACCTCAGTCTTCCCTGAACTGTCTACTGCTGGTGTAGTATTGATTTAGTTCTTCTTGAAATAGTGACTTCGTGAATACAAACTAATCTATGGAGGCAGTTAACTTTGGCTGCTCTCATTAAATACATAATCTCTATAATTAATGCACAGGCATTCCTTCCGAATGAATGGTGAATACGTCACTTGTTCACCTAACTTACAAGTCGCTGAATAGGAACACTTCACACTACAAACAGTTGGATCGCAATGCATCTTTCAAAAATTCCAATTCATTATTAATTTTTAAGTAACACATAAAATTATAATAATAATAATAACAGTGACAATAATAGTGTGGATTTGTAACTTTTCACCTCGGAAGGGGGGCAGTTAATATCACAAAAAAATACCCAGAGGAATCGCTACTGATCAAATTATCAATAGACAATTGTAAAACAGAACAGGCTTTAAAATAAATACATAAATCAATAAAACAAAATAGGGAGAGAGAGACAATACCACAAACCTACATTTATATTCATTCAAATCGACTGCTACACGTTCACATTTTGAACCATAATATGGTGTATAACAACTGAATTATTTGTTTAAAATTATATCAGTTTTTAGCGCGGTAATTTCAATATATGTATATATGCATATACAGATATATGAATGAATGAATGAACCAATGGACACATGATAGAAGGATTGAAATTATCAGGTTAAATGGCATAGAAGATGTTGAACAGAAAATATGAAGGTATGGTTGGTATTATTTAAAAAGAAATAAAATAAAAATACTACTTAATTATATTCAGTAGAATAATAGTTGAAGACAAATATATTATGCATAAATTATATAGGTACTTTTAATAAATTCACCTGTTAGCCTAGAGCATAAGATAACAGTTCGAAAATCTAAAGATCAGTTGAATGTGTTAGGGAACACTCAGTGGAGAGTGAAGCGCTGTTATACACAGGCACACACACACACAAATTACTTACCTAATAGTCCATCAATATGGAAATGACATCGATCACCAAAATACTGATCAGCACACCTTTTGAAATTGTAGTTTTATAAGAAGAAAGTTACAAAGTGCATGTTTTTCTTGTAAAATGAAGTTTATTTATGTATTCTATACTCAGAACCATTGGAAACTAACCAGGGAGTACTGAACAGCCAGCTGTTTCGTCCTGGCTGAGGATTCTTCAGCATTACGAACCAACCAGGGTTGTAGGCCGAAGACCTTCTGGTTACAAGGAAGGCTCTTAGACCATTTAGCCATTGGGATCCGATCCAGTGGCTTGTGGATTCCAAATTCTGTCAGTTTGTAACATGTATAACGCAGTAGCCAGGCATCGGCATCAGCTGATAACTGTCTTCTTACCTGACTTGGTCGACTCCACTGGTTCAAACTTCTTAATAGAACTCTGAAAAATTCCTTGCATAGATCTAGTCGCAAGTGAACATCAGATTAATTATAAATTGTTGGTTTGCAGGGATTTAGCTGGGGTAACTCTTAGTGTCTGAGTAAAGAACTGAAATGTATCTTAGAAATTTGTGGTATTAATTCCACTGGTGCACATTAATGACGAGTCTTTTTGATCGTTATATATATTGATAGCACAATAGCGTACCAGACTAGTGTAAATTTCAAGTTAGAGTGCTAACTTGTATCAGTTAGAGAAGCATTAAAAAACACGGAGTACTGAATAAGTGTTTCGTGTTAGTTTGAAACTCTTCAACAGTGTGCATCCATGACAGAACCGGGGATAAAGCGATGGTTGTCTTGATGACAAGACTGTTAGGAAAAGCTTTTACGGGATATTTAAATAACCTCTAATTTTTCGATAGAGAAAGGAAGAACAGATTTGCAGCATAAAATGATATTATTCTATTTCACAGGGCCAAGAAGTTATGTTCGCCGAACAAGGTAGAAGAAGAATTAAGCCTTTTTGAAAAATTTCTGAAAGAAAATGGGTATTCTAAGGGATTTATCCTAAAGTAAAGCGAAGTACCTAATAGTTGAAAAGAAGAAATTGTTCATTTGCCTCCTATACAAAGGAAACACAGTGTCACAAAAGATTGACAAGAGAGTGAAAGGAGCAATAAAGAGATGCTTCCTTGCAGCCAAGCTGATGACACTATGTAGCACTACATGCTCTATAAGTCAATCGAAACTGGATAAGTACCCTGATGATGTTACCTCCAAATGCACTTTCTAATTTACGTGCACCTAAGGCAGCAAGTACATTGGAAGGACAGAAAGAAGGGCTTCTATCCGGTTTTCAGAGCATATTCCAAGAAACTTATGCCTAAAAGGAAGCAGATATTTACAAAGTGCAATTACCAGACACCTTGTGGATACGGGTCATTTTGTCGAGATTTCCAAATCCTTCAAAATATTAAACTTACAAAGGACAGCAAATCTCCTACGATTTGCTGAAGCGATTGCAATCCAACGTCTCAGACCAAACTTATGCACACAGACAGAGAGAGTGCAGTGAATCTCTCACTCCCTTGGTAACCAACCGTATTACTTTCATTACATTGATCAGTCATACACACTAGTGAGCTCAGCTCACTAAGCAAGTTTTCAATTTGATGAACTTTAACCTTCTTGAGTTATCATGTTGACGTACAAGCTAACACTATTTATTGCACTTTTCTGTTTTCTGTCTTCTCTCACCCCATCCCCCCACTTTTTTCATAGTTTCATATCATATAAATTGATGGTAACTTAAACTAAAAATAATTGTAATACTTATATTCCGGATTCGTTCATCTTATAATGTTTCCTTGATTACCTTTCAAACAATGAAGTGTGAAATGTTATTATTTATAACCACTGTAATTTCAGGTAGTTTGCAGCTGATGAGAACCTGTGAAATAGAAGGATGCTACCATTTTATACTGCAAATCTGGTCTTTCTTTCTTTATCGAAATTTATTAAGGGGACAAAATGTATGAGAGTCTAATTTTAACTGATATACAATCAAATCAAATGAAAAATAAAATAACATCCAACGTAATTTGTACAAAAAACTAATTTCAGTAATCAAAATATGAAGTGATATCAACTGACCTGCATTGGAATGATACTCTTTCATTTCTGTATGTATAACACTGTCCACCATTTAGACAATAATCTTTATGTTCATCTGAACAAGGAATCAATTCATCTGTTAACAAAATGAAGTGGTAAGAGTTTTAAGACAGAATTTCTATGCATATATTTGTGTATATAAGGATTTTTATTAACCATTGTGAAACTAAACTCCAGTCATTTTATCATTGCTCAGTATTCACGGAAATCTTTTAAGGATATACTCAGAAAATCTAGTAGATGCTCTCCTCCTCTCAGTCCTTCCTGTGTGTACTTGTTGTCACAAGTGTAGGTGAATTGGTAAATGTGTTTGCAGTTGACAAGAGTAGGATGCTTACATACCTTTGATTGAGTTAACCAGCTTACTGCGTTGTAAAATAGAATGATAAGTCTGACGGCCTCAATTCTTTTTTCAGTCCTTGTGGATACTTCTTCCCCTTTGTACACTAGACAGGTAAAAAAAAGCTGTTCTCCTTTCGACTGTTTTGTGGTTTTTTTCACTTCCAAATGATTCAACCCTATTCTTGTATCACATTGTATACTGAAGTGGGCCATTCAGACTATTTAATAATTCCCACTGTAGCATTAAGAACACAATATTTAGCGAAGAGACTCTTCTCAACGAATTTATTATCAAGCTGTACAGTTGTATATTTATGGTTTTTAAGAAATTATATCCGGTGAGGGAATCAGATCAAAGGTGTGAATACTTGAAATAATAATAGTAATAATAGTATGAAATACAATTAAAATATTTGTGATTATAATCATAGTTTAATGTCAAGTGGCAAAATAATTAATGTCGTATATAGAATAATACATAAGGTGTATAGATTTTGGAAAAGGGTACATAATTACAAGATTACTAGACGAATATAAAATGTTACATATCATGGTATGAAATTTGATAAGACAGAATTCAATATTGTAAAAAATATAAAAACTAATAATTTTAGGTTTAAAATGTCAAGTGGGTCAAGTGGAAAAGATTTAGAGTGAGAATAGTAATAATAATAATGATAATAATCGTAGTAATAAGGGAAAAGTATATAGAATAAGTAAATAAATGTCTATCCCTCTACGGCCAAGGCAGAAGTAGGGATTACACATACTTCTTTTGTACACAAAGGTCTGGCTTAAAGTCATGAATTGCCAAGGCCTTTGCTGTCTTTAGACGTTTATAATGAAGAAAATGCGTCAAGTTAGCATGGATTCGGTAGATGATCTTAAAGTCATGGTCAGGGTTGGCAGAATGACAGGAGTCGATCAGGTGTTCTAGAATAGAGCTTCGCACACACACTTCCTTTCTCCCTTGTAACACCATGCTGGAATATGTTCTCGTATCCTTGTGGAAAGTATCCTCTGGTTACGGCCAATGTACCTTCCTCCACAATAGGAAGTGAAGTGATAGGTGCACATGGAGGCGGTAAGACAGCGGATCTTATCTTTTACAGAGATGGAGAACAACTTGTGTCTGTTCAACGTCATTTGCAATTTTGCTGCACAGAACGTCTTACTGACTGCTTTAAAGAGACGGTTTTTGAACATATCTGAAGCCTGATCACCTTTGAATTCCAAGTTCATGAATAAGGTTTCATTTGGAAGTGGGTCGGTGGCTAGTTTAGCCTGCTTTTCTTTCGTGTCACTGTCAATAAATCGGTTAGGGTAACCGCTTTCTGAAAGCGTGGCTTTTAAGAAGTCAAGTACTGAGTCAACGCAATCAAAACTACAAATTTTTCTATCCTAAAGCAGAGTGAATGAATTAGGTTCCTTTTCCTGGAGATAGGCACCCAACTATAAAAATTAGTTAGTTGTCCATTCCATGTACATTTCTGGTGGATGGATCTTTTGAGAGATACGTCAGTACGTATGCTAAAGCACACATCAGATTCCTTTTCTTTTGTGAATTGTAAACAATATCGACAGTTTTCCGTGTAGTTTATTGCGTAATTTTTTACTCTTCATCCAAGAGTTTCAAGCAAAAACAGTCATCTGCAGTACATCACGTCATGCAGTGATGTTAGATCTGAAGTTTAAAATAATCCTTTACAGGAATTTTTCTTTGTTTCCACAGAAATGAGCTACATTAGGTTACAAATCAATTAAAAATGTGGGCGAGTACATTTGGGGACCCATGGATATAAGTGAATGTTCATAACAATAAGAACTACAGAAAATATGATTCATTGCCTTGGATGGAAACCCAGGCGGCTCAGTGATTCAAACAGGCCGCTCTGGTGCTAATTGAGTCAGCTAATATTGTGGTGAGAGCTGTCTGCTAGCCAAAATTGTAGACAAGAATTTACGTCAGTGTTTACGTCCCAAATCTTGGTCATGAGAAAAAACACTAACAAAGCCTAACCTTGAGGAAATTAACAACCAATCAAAGCAGATTTAGCGTGGGTGGATACGATTAGCAGATACATGGTCTGACCTTCAAAGAAGCGGTCACAAAGAGATGAGAGAATAACTTTCAGCGAGAAACCGACCAATCAGAAGACTCTGTTTCTCTGGTAATAATAACAAATAATGTACATAAAAATCTATAAACATCTGTTGATTTTCTCAATAAACGATCTGTTGCCTGGCCCTTGTCTTCTGTCCTTACAACATGTATGTACCAATATGTGTAAGGCTTCAGCCTTACAGTTTTACGGAGTCACAGTAATGATTTACCCAGCATAATGAACAATTCAGATTGAAAACATTCAGGGGAAATAAAGTTCTTTGAAAATTGTAATTAATAAATGACAATAAATTTGAAAACTTGGGTTATTCAGGACTTTGTTGCATTTGATTGTCAAAAGATAAAATATCAGAAGTTGTTGAACAGTACTGACAAGAAAGATTGCGAATGTTTTTTCAGTTCTATAGGTATCCAAAGTCAACTGTGCCTAGATCTCGCTCCGTTTTTGAGGAGTTCATAGTGAGGAATTTTGAAAGCGTCACCCATGGACAGATTGATGTATTTCTGTAAATTTACTGGACAGCTTTCTTGTCCTAGTATAGGATTATTCAATTGTATGCGCCCACCCTTGGGGTTCGAAACCAGGAGACCTACTGGTTAAAAGACGAGCTTTTAGATCAGTCAGCCACATGGGCTGCAATTCATTGACGTATGAACTCATAGAAGTTAGAATTCAAGAGGTCATGAATTTCCAATTGAAGTGGCTGTGAGTAGTCCACGAGCTTGATCTCAAAGCTCGAAAGTAGCGGATTCGATTCCTGCAGTGGTGGGGGAGGTCGTAAAACATTTATCGAATACTCCCTCGTTTTCAGTGATCTGTCTAACTGGTTCGTGGGCTGGTTCGTGATAAAACTTCAGTTAAGTTATGGCATGGGTCAATTATGAATTAACTATTCATCACGTTTGGTAGCTTTTAAATTATTTGAAAGCAATTAACAACGATCAGACTATGCAAATAAAACATTATATTTTCCGTAGTTTTGTTTTTAAGAGTTGATCACGGATTGATATCAGTTAGGGAACCACTGAAAACCTGATTTTCATTTAGAAGACAAATTTCGCGAGATGATATCTTCATTTCGTAGTTTATTTACAACCGCTTTACAACTAACATGGTTCACAATAACAAAATAAAATAAAAATGCATGACAATTACTCAGTTATACATACTAATGACCAGTCATATTTAAATAGGTCAAGTATACTCGCCATGGTAGGCGAAAGTTGAAGTCTATTGTTTTTTGTACACACAGTTTAGGCCGTATGTGATTAATCCCCCAAAATGCTTCCATCACCTTCAATAACCAACCCTCAATAAGAGTTATGTGAAATATTCGTGAAACAGTCATTAATATTGATTTCGTGACCTGACATTAATAAGTGTTTTGCAATGGATGATGTTGGACTTCTATTCAGATTAATCGCATTTGGTTTTTCTGTGTATTAATAACCATTTTGGAACATGTTCTTTTCGACGACATTCGGTTTTATTAGCTAATGGTGATCCAGAAAACTTCATCAATTGTCACAGTAAGGATAGGCTACATCTTAAAAAGACAGCTTCGGTACCAAAGAAAGCCATCTTTATTAACCTACCATTCAAGGGTGACTAGATTATGTATTTGACAGCTAGCTCAAAGACTTCGGTCAGCCATCAAACGCACATTCTATGCCGCATCTCTTTTTCTCACATGCCGAACATTTTCGATTTCTGTACCGAAGATTGAAGGACGAAATTCTCTGGACTCTACTTCAAACTGTATCTACAAGTTCACCTGCAGTTGCGGTGACACCTATATAGGTAGAACCAATAGAATGTTCCAATGTCGTTTAAAAGAATATGTTACAAAGTGGTTATTAAAACATATAGAAAATCCCAATGCATATAGTTTGAATAGAAATCCAGCATCATCCATTGCAAATCACTTATTAATGTCAGGTCATAAAATCAATTTCAATGACTGTTTCACAATTATTTCATCACATAACTCTAATTCGAGGTCGGTTATTGAAGGTGATGGAAGCACTTTGGATTAATCACATACAGCCTAAACTGTGCGTACAAAAAACAGTAGACTTCAACCTTAGCTTACCATGTACTACTTGACCTATTTGAATATGATTGGTCATTAGTATGTACCTTTGTTTTATATAACTGAGTAATTGTTGAGCACTTTTATTTTGTTTTATTATTGTGAACCATGTTAGTTGTAAAACGGTTGTAAAGAAACTACGAAATGATGCCATCATCTAGCGAAATTTCTCTTCTAAGTGCTTTAATCAAATTCATCAAAGGGAGTAATTGTTTTGTTTCTCTCAAACGAAGACTCCCCAAGGATACTATAAAACATTATATATTTTATAGCATGATTTGAATGCTCAAATACGTTTTAAACAAAGAAATTACAGTGTCAGCTTACCCATTACTTTTTCAATAGTCCGATTATTTTGTTTAACTGAAAATGAAAAGATAAAATCACGGTATAGTAGACAGAATATAAAACTGTTAAAGGTGCAGAGATAAAATTCACATTTTATTGTGAAATCTTTGGAAGCAGTAGGCATACAACTTTACTAACTTTATTCAGAAGTGAAGATCGTTTTATTATTGGATGGAGGATTTCATCATGAGCTGACATCGGTTAGAAAACCACTGGAAAACCAGCTTGGAGTACTGAACGGCTGTTCCGTCCTAGTTTGGTACTTTTCTTCAGCACCCACCCACCGGGGTTCGAACTCAGGACCTTCTGGTTACAAGGCTAGCGAGCTCGTAGACCATTGAGCCACTGGGACCCAATTATTATTTTTATTCCCTTTGGTTTCGAAAGGGAAACAAAAGAATTCAGCATCACATTACCACTTTACTGTGTTCCACGCGGTCTTCCATAAGTTTTCAATCGCTCTCTCATTCACGAAAGATTTGTACGTGTTAAGGAAAGGATATAAGCCAATTGTTGTCGAAGCTGAGCAACTTTACTGTAAAAAATTGTGAAGTGACCTTCCTGTGTGATGAATATCACAGTATGAGGGGGAATTTCTGCTGAAATGACTCTATTATGGTGAGCGTAGCAGATAAAAGTTCAGCTACTGTTTATCCGGCTAAATGGCTGTTTTAAGGATTTTGTTAATCCCAACTGTACAACGGTACTTATTCGTACATTTTAACGGTCAAGTTAAACTTTAAGCACCACTAACTACCAAATGGAGTGTGACCGCATCAATGACCTTGAAACGCTCACTGAGCAAGTTAGTTAAACCTGGCAAATAATGTTGTCATCATCAATAAAATGGGCTCATCTAAGTGTTATGCTATTAAATGGGATATCTATCAAGTTTCAGCCAAGGACAAGTCAGGGTTAAGTTAACCTAATAAAGGCGACATTAGGTTTGGTTCGAGTTCGATTATAGTTAGTTTAGGGATATTTTCACATTAGGGTTGGGTTCAGGAAAGATAATTGTTAGGTTTAGAAGACCCAAATAATTACAAGCATAGAATGTGGTTAAATTACTCTGTTGATATAAGAGCAGAACTTGTGCATTGTGGTAGAGTATAATTCTACTGTGAGTAAAATTTATTTCGATAATGTCACTCAGTGTAATACAGTAATATTTACTGATGACCACGTTTCGATCACAATTTATTGCTCAATAAATATTACTGTATAACACCATGAGACTTTATCAAAATAAATTTTACCCACAATGAAATTATACTCCGTTGATACTCCAACCTAAAACTGAGAGTTTTTTATGACATGTGAGAGGAGGGCATTCTCTGTAACACTTCTCTACAGTTTTTATGCTTTTTTTCATAAATATACGTATTCCATACACAAAAATGCCTCCTCCACGTGACTGGTGCGTTCGAGGTCATTCGCTGATTGGTAGGTAGTTAGTGGTGCTTAAAATTTAACTTTGCCATTTTAACATTTTCAACTTTTCCGATGATAACCATCATTATCTATGTGTGTATAAAACTTGTACACTGTTTATTTTATTATTTTATTTAAATCCTTTGTGTTCTGAGTGAAACATATGGCTTCAAGCTAGAGCTTTGAATATTCAGTCGTAGTGATGTTTTTTTGTTTTACAGGATGGGGTTGTTAGCCTCATGCCCAACCTTCCCTGTTTGCCACGTTTACTGCAGTCTAACTGAGGTAAACGAGTCCGTCGGCTGGGAACTGAATCCCGTACCACTTGTGTGGTTAGCAACCATTCTACCAGTGAACCATCGAAGCCGTAAACTGTGGCACCATGTAATTCCATCTTAGGCGAACAAATATATTTCAAGTATTTATTTGTAGGGATTTGGTTGATTGGTTACAGGATTCCATTATAAGCTGACATTGGTTAGAGAACCATTGGAAAACCTGCGCTGGAGTACTGGACAGCTGTTTCGTCAGCCTAGTTTGGGACTTTTCATCAGTACGCACTCATCGCCAGGATTCGAAACCAGGACCTTCTGGCTACAAGGCGAGTTAGCTCGTAGACCAATGTTTAGTTTTCTTGAACATGTTGTTTGTTAATTTCGAAGCGGGATGTAGGAAATTCTATAAAATATAATTATTTGGAACTTAGCCGCCCGCCACAAATTTTTCATGTATGAGAGCTGGTGTTTTTATTCGGCTTCCCAGGCTCAATTGGATACAGCGGTATTCAGGCTAGCAACAAATTGGTTGGAAGTAGAGTGTTTAAGTTGATGAGTCAAATCTACAGCTAACAGAATTGTGAATAATTACTGCAATTTAAGCATTTTTAACATATAGTTTAGTATTTATCTCGAATGAAAACCTCACCATTTTTGTTATCAATACAGACAGTGTATTTAATCAACAGTTCGCAATGTGAGTAAAATCACATATAGGCTAATGATATAACCGCCGCACATCACATTTCATGCACACGTACATTTTTCAGGTTATTAAAAGAGAATTTTCTGAGGAACCTTGGTATAACCGTATCTTTTTACAAATTTTGAACTGATGTAAGAAATATGATTGTATTGTTTTCTTAAATGTCACTATATTTTGGTTTGGTACTTATGTAGTGAAGTTAAAATTACATCAACATCCTACAAAAAACCTGTTGGTTTTACTGGGAATTGTTTTATCTTAGGTGCAGTTTCTTTGCTGAAACTTCTGTGATAGTAAATATGAATATCACTTGTTTTATTAACAGTAGTATTATTAGTTCGCAACCACATGATCACTGTTTTGAGTGACAAATGAACAACCAATTAGTCAGCTGGACGTAACTGCTTGTATGAGAATTTATAATTTTTCATTACTTTTATATGCTTCTTATCGTTGTAGGTCTGAATTCTCACGTTTAGTATTTTTTGTCAGACTGAATCAGGTCCCAGTTCGCTAGTTTCCTCGCCGTTCCTAAGCCTAGGAAAAGCGAGAAGACTGGGCGTGAGGCAAGTGACCCTATTCCGGAAAATCAATCTAATTGCTACAGAAACTTCAGAGCTTGATAATTATTATGTTATTATTATTTCCTTTAGTTCCTGGAGTTCAGTCTCACGTCTCCATTGCTTTCGGTTCTCCACCAACGTTTTCATCTGGCTCCAGGTCTGTCTACATGCTTTCATCTCCTCTTCACATGACCTCCTCCATGTCACGCTTGGACGACCAACTCGTCGCTTCCCGTTCGGGTTCCACTCGGGAGCCTGTCGTGTGATGTCACTTGATCCATTTCTTCCTGCATGTGTGCTGAACAATCGGTTACTAATGGGTTGGTTCACCCCTATAGACCCCTGTTTCTGATCTTTTCTGTCCGGCCATCTAATCTTGAGTAGTACTGAGCGAAGACAGCCGTTGGTGAAGGTCTGTAGCTTGTTCTAAGTGCCCTTCGTGACGCGGCGCCAAGTCTCTGATCCGTATAGTAAGTATCAGTGACTTCATATTGGAGTTGAAAATCCGTATCTTGTTTTTCATACTGAGTAGTGCTGTCGATCTCCACACAGACTTGAGAGAAACGAAAGCTTTCCTTACTTTCCCGATCCTCGCTTTGATGTCCTCGTCAGTTCCGCCCACTTGTAGTTGAAACGATGCTTCCCAGGTAGGTAAAGTAAGTTGCTTCTTTCAAATTTCTCCCATTTATGCTGATTGCTGTCTGTTGTTGCTGCTGTCGACCAGGAATTTTCATCACCTCTGTTTTCTCTATGTTCACCTGAAGTCCTATCTTCTCTGGATGCTTCTTCTATCTCCAACTTGTTGCTTTTCACTTGCATATCTTCCAGTTTATGGCAAATCAGACACATATATCATCGGCGAAGTCCAGATCCTCCAAGTTTTTTTGTAAAAGTGGGTCCATTTTATGCCTGTTTTGTCACTGCCTGCTGTCTATGAGCTCAACAAACATTGATCTATAACAACTAATGTAAATTTTCAGGCTGTCAACAGCTGAAGAAAAGCCGTGAAATACAATAAAACCCTTTTATATCCTGTATACATATGTAAATATATATATATATTCTTTCTCTATTGCTTTCTCCTAACATTATGACTACAATCCGGCCGACTGAGTATCTTTGTAAAAATAAAAACAAAAAAAAACACATCACTTTAATACTAAATTTAGATTCCACTAATTTTGGTAAATTTTTCATTTAGAAGATAATCAAGTTAGTTACTAAAATTATAAAGCCATCATGGCACACTTGACTAGTTCATCATCATTCACATGGATATTCTCAAAAAACTGGAAGTGGTTATTATTCTCATTAACTCAAATCTTAAACATGCAATACATTACCTGGGGTTATAAATAGATTTTTACTTTAATTTTAGAAAAAAAAGCTTTCCAAAATAAACAATATTTCATTATCTGCCACTTGTAGCATGTATTAGAGTAAAAATAGTTTCCAAAATTTCATGATATGAATAGAAGAATTAACTCCTTTTTTGTTTCTATGAAGTGAGACATTTCTGTTTCTAAATATGTGTGTGATTTAAGTGGTGAGAGAGAGATTTGGAAGGTATTCATTTTGTTGTGTAATACTCAAGGAATACACAGAAAGACATATTAGGGTATGATGAATGGTACACTACCAGATTAATGTCATATACACTTAAATTTCGGTTAGTATCCCGGCTGACTGAATGCAGCTCCAGCTGTGGATATCTCAACAATCACACACAGTGTCGTTGATGTCGTGGCTAATTCATTTATATGACCCAAAGAGTCATGTACGACCACTTATGGGTATTACATCACTTGCTTACATAGTGTAAGGCTCTCCAGTCATTGAGTCATGAGGCAAATGAGTGAGTGGAGAAAATTCCCTTTATCCACGTACTCACCTTAGTCGTCTTATAAAATTATCTAAAAGGTGTGTTAGGTCTCAGCACTTGTGTATGATAGAGGCATTATCAGCTTGTCAATATAACCCAAAATTCTTTGTGTGTGTAGAAAAATACCTGAGCTCTTTCCTACTCGGGTGTTTCTATTT